TAGATACTCTGCTAGCTGATTGTCGTGGTGCTCTGTCTAGACTGTATGAAAAAGGCTAAGGTGAGCTACAATCTGTGAGCTGACCTCTATTGACTTTCTTTACCTAGACATACCCTAAATGCCTATGATGTATTCTTCAACACTGCTGCTAAATATCAGACAAAAGGTGGGGATACTGATTGTTTTCTATCCTGGCTCCTTGAAAAGAACACTGTTTATAGGGACTCTGGGGGTTCTCTTGGCCGGCTGTAACAAACCCAGAGCCCAGGAAGTGGTGACTTGTGGTGACAGGTGTCACTTTGGCCTCCTGTATTTCCCGTTTCCCCACTCCATTGCCTGTCTCCATTCCTCCCCTGCAACATCTCTGGGTTTTTTCCTCTTCTTTCAGCACCAGTTTGGCAATGAGATGGATATCATTCCCCTTGTTTCTCTGTCCATTTTGGCTCCCCTACTGCTCCCTCCCTCCACTTCTCCCTTGTTAAGAAATCAGTTGTCTTCCCAAATTGGACAGGAGAGTAAGCTGAGAGAACTGAAATCTAGAACTCTTGTCCATCTCTATTGACTTAAGTTCTAGAACATGCACAAACAAAAGAAGCTGTCAATTCTGTAAATGCAGCTGAGCTTTAAATCTCCTTAAAACTTCCTCTAACGGAGAAGAGGAGATGTCACTGGCCGGAACAGAGTTTGAGGTGAAGGGAGAGGGAGGGAGTAAGTATACCATTTCTTTCTGTTGGCATGGCAAACACAAGGCCAATATTTAGAAACAAAACAAAAATGTGGTAATTTCTCATTGACTTCATAATTCTAAACACCTTGTCCTAAATGCTTACACGCTAATAGTGTATAAGATGGACACTAGTTGTCACTGCTCTTAGAGGATATACCTTGAACTACTTGTAGTTTCCTCTTCTTCATTCCTTTTATTTGTCTAGACACAAAACGGGGATGATATTAGAAATGTTTCCTTATTGGCTGCCCGTGGGTGGAGGAAGAGACCTGCTGCTTGTTTTTGGACTTGTGCATGTTGTGACTTTACTTCATTCCAGCATCTTTAATGTGATGACACTCTTCATGTCCCAGTTTGGCCAAGTCAGGTACAATATGCAGTGAAACTTGCATTATGAACCAACAGCTCCAAATGGCAACCTCCATCTAAGCAACCACATTGAACCATCCTGCAATAGCCAGTGAATAATACATCATTATGTCATCCTCATTCTTAAAAAGAGCCACTTGTACTAGATAACTCGTTTTGCTGCTGCCTGAAGTAGTCGTTGAAGTGGTGTCACAGTGGTATATTCCATTTAAAAACTATATCAATTACAAAATCTGTTCTACAACCACAAAAAAAAAAGTTCCTTAAATTAGTTGTGTATGAATAAAAAGAAGACTTGTCAGTTTATTATCTTTCTCTTCTTCCTAGGTCTGGATTTTCTTTCGCTAATCCCAGTTGATTCACAGGTATGTTTCTGAACTGCTGTGGGGTTAATTTCCAAGTCCATTTTTTGTGGCATTCTGCTCCAGTAATTATCAGGGTGCTGTCATCATCAAAACCACGTTTGCAGTCCACTTGCTTAGACCTAACCGTAGACCGGGAAAATCCATTTTCCCAGCAAGAAGTGGTAATGAAGATGCATTAAGGAGGATTCAGTTTAGCCTTACTGTGATAAGTCCAGGCGTGGAAACTCCTGGCTGGTAGTTTGCCTTTCTAAAGCAGGTACTTGCCCAACACTAACTTGAATACTCCCAGGGTTCTGAGGCACTGGCACAGGTTGCCAAGAGAAGCTGTGGCTGCCCCATCCCTGGAGTGTTCAAGGCTAGGTTGGCTAGGGCTTGGAGCACCTTGGTCTAGTGGAAGATGTCCCTGCCCATCGCAGTCAGGGTGGGAGCAAATGTTTTTTAAGGTCCCTTTGAACCCAAACCATTCTGTGATTCTATGACGTTGCAGGTATATACTGTGAAAATGTTGATCAGTACACATGCTGCCCTTTGAGGAGATGAAATTATTCTACCCTCCACTGAAGGAGCAAAAAGCACTCTGCTGCTGTTTGTGATGAAAGGAGCCTGAAATAGGCAGTTGTGCCCAGCAGCTGTGGGCAGTGAATGTTCTCCAAATGCTGAGGCTTTTTTGGATGGGTTTTTTGTGGTCATCATGTGGATATGATAGTGTTCTTAATGTGCTAGTAAATGCTCAAGCTAATAAAAAAAAATTCCAGTACCTAAAGGGGGTCCATGAGAACTGGAGAGGGACTTCAAACAAGGGCCTGGAGTGCCAGGACAAGAGGGAATGGCCACAAGCTGAAGGAGAGCAGGGTTAGATTAGATACAAGGAAGAAGTTCTTCCCTGTGATGGTGGTGAGGCACTGTCACAGGGTGACTAGAGAAGCTGTGACTTGCCCCATCCCTGAAAGTGTTCAAGGTCAGGTTGGACAGGGCTAGGAGAAACCTAGTCTACTGGAAGGTGTCCCTGTGCCTGGCGGTGGCATTGAAACTGAATGAGCTTTAAGGTCCCTTCCAAACCATTCTGGGATTCTCTGAAGAACTAAGAGGGGAGGATGAGGGAGAAGGGCTTGTGGCTGCTATCTCTGCTTGCTTACTTGCTGGTTTGCAGAACTCTGGTTCTTGCTGTGCATGCATGAACAAGGGTCTGTTAGTAATGTGTTTTGCATTTGTTGTAGGGAAGATGTATCTTCAGAGCATACATTTCCCTTGTGCAGTTAGTCTCTTCATTCTTCATTGTTTGTTTCAAGCAGTACTGTCCTCCTATGTTTTTGGATAGTCTCACCTCATCCTTAACAAGCAGCATGCCTGGCAGTATCATCACCTCAACCAGCCACCACGAGAGCAGCACACACGTTAGCTCCTCAAGCAGGGGCGAGGCCGGAGTGATAACCAGCAGCAGCGGCAGTGTTCCCGACATCATCTCCCTAGACTGACACCTGGGGCAGCATGCGGCTCCCGCAGACATTGCACAGAGCTGCTGCTCCTCTCTCTCTGCAACTTCAGCATCTTGGAGGTCATTCTGATATTTATTGAAAGGATTTACCTTCTGGAGAGTAAAGTAAACTTTCTAATAATACTAGTCCTAGTAAACTAGGACCAGAAGTGATAGGTTGTTTTTATCCTGCTTGTTGCATAGGTGGTATAGACAAGGCCCTTTCAGAACGTGTGTTTTATGCTTTTGTATTTTATGGGGATATAAACCTTTTGTTGCTGCGTGGATTCCATGAATGGTTTTAAATTTTGTTGTAGAGCACAGCAATAATGTAAAAAAAAATTTTTAAATAACAGGAAAGCACTTAGTCACTCTAGAACAACAACCTGGACAGATGTGCAAAAGTACATGAATTGGTAAATTTTTAGTATTTTAAGTGATGCCTGTAATAGAGTTCATTAAGATATTAAGAAAATGAAGCTTTGATATAGCCATGACTTGTGTTGTATGTGTCTTGCTCCCCACCTCCCCTTACCTAGGGACGTAGGGGAAGCCTCTGTAGATGAGATTGGGTTTTTTCCTAATTTCATGTTTTTCATAAATGCAACAACATCCTAAGCTGTGACTTCTTCCTCTATTTGTTCTTTGGGCTGGGAAGGAGACAGACTATGCAAACTCTGCATCACAATCTCTGTCCTGCCATGTCAGAATTGGGACACTTCCCCACCACCAAAAACTCCAAACTATGCAGTTGAATGTACAGCTGAATTTTTCATTTTATAACTTTAAGAGGTGATGGATAAACAGCCTTTAAACTCAAATTTAGGTTATGATGTCCTTGTGTCCCTCTTTCCAGCTGTCACCCCTCACCAGATGACCAAGTGAAGTGTGTGCTTTCTGTGGCAGCTGTAAGGAGACAAAATGGGAATTACTTTCTCCAGTGCTTCTCCAGTGCAGGATTATTTTCTAGGATTTCTTGCTTATAGTTTGCCACTTCTGTAACTCCCATATTCCATGTGGAAATACTGTACATGGACTGTAGGGTAGGCTTGGCTTTTTGGAAGATAGAAGCCATAGCTGCACAGTGTTCCCAGCTAACTGGAATTACATGTTTAGGGCTTAATGGTGCTTGTCCAACATTCTAATAAACATTCACATGTATGCTGAAATTCACAGAGGAAATCATTACACCAGGTTAACATATGAAATCTCTGAAATCCAAGGCAAATACTGTCTTTCCTGGAGACAGGAAAATGCTGATGTCCAGAGTGAATCAGGATTTACTAGAGAAGATGGACATGGGCCTGACTGCATGGCAGAAACTCTGTAGCCCTGCAGCCAGGAAATATGATTCACATATCAGCTATGTATCACTTGCCTCTTTCACAAAGATTTTTTTTCCAGTATCTGAAGGGGCCTGCAGGGAAGCCAGAGAGGGACTCTTTGTTAGGAACTGCAATGGGTACAAATTGAGAGTGGGGAAATTTAGGTTAGATATTAGGAAGAAATTATTTAGTGTGAGGGTGGTGAGACACTGGAACAGGTTGCCCAGGTAAGTAGTAGAAGCCCCAGCCCTGGCAGTGTTCAAAGCCTTGGATGAAGCCTTGAGCAACCTGGTCTAGTGAAAGGTGTCCCTGCCCATGGCAGGGGGAGGTAAGACTAGATGATCTCTAAGGTCCATTGCAACCCCTAAAATTCTATGATCTCCTGGCCTCCTCATTGTGGCTTTTCTACTTCAAAGGGAACAGCTTCCTCCTGTTTTACTCCTGTGATGCTTTGTTTGTATCTGGCGTGTCTCCTCTCACACCTCTGGGGATAACCTCAGCAGTACTGTATATGGAAGAGGCTACAGACTAGGAAAACCAAGTCATTTCCATAGAGCTGGAATAATGGTATTATCTATGTATGCTGACATAGAAGCTTTTCCAAGTATTGTGTTTCTGTTGAGTAACTGTATTTGAGATTATTCCTTCCCTAATGACCAGCTTTCACTTTTTTCCCTAATTTTATGTTCCCTTTTTTCTTTTTAGTCAGATGTCTGGTGCTTTTTACCTTCCATTACTGTTACAGTATTTGAATGAAGTACATGGATGAGAAATACTGAAGCAGAATGTTTTGTAACTCGTCTGTCCTGTACGCCTACCTTTTAATGCTGCATTATTGTTCCTCATTGCCTTTTTTGTATGATCTTTCTCAGTAGTCTTCAGTTCACATGTTGGTCTTAATAGTGCATCCAGTCTTCTCTTTTCCTTATCTGTGTAATTTTTTGTACCTGTTAAGGATCAGTTTTTAGCATGATTTTTTTCCAATAAAATAATGCTTCTCATGAAGTTTTCTCCTAATGGCCTGTAACAGATCAGTGCTTTCTGCATCACCATTGCATGGTGACTTGACCTATAAATAGCGTGGAGAAAGGTTCCAGAGTCATTCTGAATAAAGTATTTAAAAGTGCCCTCTGTTGCTGAAGATGCTGTTTGTACTCTTAATGTCAAACTCAAGTGTGACTCCGAGAAGTGAAGTGAGTGCAGCAGCAACAATTCAGGTATTTCCTGAATAGGAAAAGAGCGTGACAGCAGGACCAGGACAGTGACCATGACCCTGTGCTGGGCACTGGGTCAGGCACCTTGAGTCCTGGGGTCAGTTCTGGATCCCTTACAACAGGAAAGACATTGAGGTGCTGGAGCATGTCCAGAGAAGGGGGGAAGGGTCTGGAGCACAAGTCTAAAGAGGAGCATCTGAGGGAGCTGGGGGTGCTCAGCCTAGATAAAAAGAGGCTCGGGGTGGGAGGGGACATTCACACTCTACAATGACAAGAGGGTGTAGCTAGGTTGGGGTTGGTCTCTTCTTCCAGGGAACAAGTGAAAGGATCAGAGGAAATGGCCTCAAGTTATGCCAGTGGAGGTTTAGATTGGATATTAGGGAAAATTTCTTCATTGAAGGAGTGATTAAGCATTGGAATGGGCTACCCATGGAAGTGGTGAAATCACCACCTCTATCAGTGTTCAAGAAACAACTGGATGTAGCACTCAGTGCTCTGGTTTAGTTGATAAGGTGGTGACTGGTCACAGGTTGGACTTGATGATCTTAGAGGTCATTTCCAACCTAACTGATTATGTGATTCCAATGTTAGCAGGGATTTTCTGTACCTGCTTTAAATCTAGGTGGTAAAAACCAAAAAGCTTACCAGGAACTGCCAGGCTTTTGCCATGAGTCTGCCAAGAGTACAGATGATCCCAGTTTGGAAATGAAAGAACGCATCTTTTGTCTGAGAGAACAAAACCTGGCAGTTGAACAAGAATTTCTGCAAAGCAGTGGTAAAGGGAGAAGTTTCCTAGGTTAAAACCAGTTCTGGATTAGGCAAACTGTGAAAATCACCATTAGTCCTAGGCAACTGATTTTAAATTTTTTTTTAATACTAATTTTTTTACACAAGCAGGGGTGACCACAGACCAGATACAGCCAAGTCAAATTAGCATGACACTTTTTTTATTTTTTTGTTTTCAGTAGGTGATGGTGCCATCACTATGCTCATTAACAAAGTGCGTTACTCAAATGTGTTACTCAAATGTGACAGGCTAAAAAGTGTCCATTTTCCTCCTGGTTTTAGAAGGATACAGGATCCAGACAAAACTGGGCAGCACATCACACACACCATGAAACAGAAGTGATTATAACTTATCTAGGAAGTTATCCTGAGGTGGAAGACCCTTCTTCAAGCTTTTGCCTTTACATGTTTCAGCTACAACTTGCAAGGATGAGAATTTGCGTCACAAGGATTTCCAGGCAAAATCTGCCAGGGATAAAAGACACACTGGAAAAACCTGTCTGCTAGTGTTGGATGGCAAGTTGGCAATAAAACCTAGATGGAAGGAAAAAAATCAAAATTAAGGGATGAGCCAGCTACAGGGAAAAATAAAACTGACTTATTGCTAACTTCTGCATAGACAAAACCCTACACACTCCTTCCGACTGTAGTTAGGGAACTGTGCTTTCCAGTTTATTCTTTCAAGCAGGTGAGGCCAACTCCGGTGAACTGCAGAAAGATCTCATGTGACCAAGTAAATTGGCAATAAGGCAAACTGATGCTGAGGGTCCCAGAGCTGGATGCAGCACTTCAGGTGGGAGTACTGCATCCAGCTCTTCCCAAAGACTTTGCAGCACTGATCTAAACAACTTAAGAACAGAGCTATCATGGTTTCTTGGAAAAGAATATGAAAACACACTTAGGTATCTACCTGTTGCAACTCTGTTGTGACAAAGTTAGTTTTACAGTTGGACTTGAGTCTTTTCTTTGAGACTTAAGTCTCTTCTTCTGAGACTTACGGGTCTTTTCCAATTTAAATGATTCTGTGGTTGGGCAATCCCAAGTACAAGTACAGGCCGGGTGGAAAATGAGAGCAGCCCTGGGGAGAAAGACTTGGGGGCGTTGGTGGATGTGAAGCTCAACAAGTCCCAGCCATTGCACTGGCAGCCCAGAAATCCCCTGTGTCCTGGGCTCATCCCCAGCAGTGTGGGCAGCAGGTGAGATGGATTCTGCCCCTCTGCTCCGCTCAGGTGAGGCCTCTGGGCCCCCCAGCATCAGAAGGGCTTGAAGCTGCCGGAGCAAGTCCAGAGGAGGCCACAGAGGTGCTCCAAGGGAGCTATGGAGACAGGCTAAGAGCTGGGGATGTTCAGCCTGGAGAAGAGAAGGCTTCAGGGAGACCTTAGAGCCCCTTCCAGTGCCTGTAGGGGCTCAGAGAAGCTGTGGCTGCCCCATCCCTGGAAACGCTTGAGGTTTGAACAGGGATTGGAGCAACCTTGTCTAGTGGAAGGT